ATGATTCCTGTCACTCGAGATTGCTAAAAATTAGGTTAGGTTACCCTGGTTAAGCTTAATGTACGCTTATTTGATTGAGCTTGTCGTTGGTATTCAGGGAACAAAAGGCCTATATATATTTTTTTTCAATTCCGTACTTTCAGAAGAGCGAAGAAACCCGGATCCTACGTAGTCATAATGAGCCGGAGTGCTCATTTATTTTCTATATATTGGACAGTGATAGTACAAATAGCATGTAGTTAATAAGATCTCTTGCTTGCTACTCTGTACCAAAAAAAGCTCATACTCGTGAAAGTTATATCTGTTGATTTTCTCCAACTTTGAGGTATTTTTACATTAATCTTGTTGATCCATAGATATGCTATATTTTATACCTCCACAAGCGTTGCAAAACGCAAATGATGATGATCGTATGGCGAAAACATTTCGGCATAGCTAGAACCATTAATATCTTTTCGGCCGTCTTTCTGAGGTACTTAGCTCTCTCAATTCGTTTATTCTGTTTAATCTTGTTACCACTTTTTACCGTATGTTATGCAATATCAGCTTATACTTCTCTTCCTGCTAATTCTATAAACATACCAGACTTAATTTTCAACTGGAACTGAGATATCGAAATTATAATTTTAGACCTCAAACTCCGACAATTTTTGTCTATCTGGGTTTACTTATTCGACGGTAACCAAGGGGCTAAACTGATTTTTCCGTAAAAAAACTTTTTTATGAGACTATTACATCGACGTAGAAGTAGTAGTCACACTAAAGTTAACCCTTGTCGTGTTTGTTACTAATTGCCTCATTCCCTAGTCGAGTGTGAGATTAAGGAATTGCATTTAGCCATGCTCAGGGTACTACCACATTTATCATTAAATAATCAGTTCGCCTTAACACCTAAGTTATTATAATCAGTGAAATTAATTGGAACCACAAAATATAAAGTAACCTAATTTTTAACATATATATTTACTTCGTCATGTTTACTGATTACTTCGTAGCTTTTGCTGGTCGTAAGCCCTACTTGAATTATACTATAGTAAACCTTTACATAGCTTTATCTTCGTACGGAGAACTATAAATTCAATGTTTAAGATTATTGGTTCACCCCTGAGATCATCCGTGATATATCGTAATACTGCTTTAGGAAAATCTTTTTGACCTGTTTTTTTCTAAAAAATCACTAGAAGCTGTTTTGGGAAGAAGTTCAAACTTTAAAAACTATTATAAAAGTTTACCGTTATTTCTGTATTCGCAAATACGCACACGTTGAATAAACAGTCATTAATTTGTTGCCATTGAAACCAAACTCAGATGTATTTATAATAGAGAGCAATAAACTTGTCATGCCATAAACTAATATATTAACTAAATAACCGAGTCGCATTAGCTACTTGCGTTCACTTCAACCGCCGATTACTGCCACAATTTCACCATAAAAAGATAAAAGAAACTCCTAACCAAGAAACTGCTACTTTCATTGTCACCGTACGAATATCTAGTATGGTATTTGTAATCGCATAAGTGTAAACAAGCAAAGCAACGCTAAGATAATTAAATAAAAGTAAAGTGCCGTTAAAAATTGCTTAATGCATCATAATGCAACCGCCAACTAGTTTAACTAGTCTAGTCTACATACTTGCTATAATATAATTATTGCACTGATTCAGTACATTTAATTTCAAGCAAGGTTTAGAAAACGAAAGCGAATTGCCGACAGCACCGGTGGTTGACTTTCATAACGCTGTCACTTGTACTTATTTTCAACAGATATGTTTATCCGCCCTTAAAACCTGTATTTAGATCTCTCAATTTTCTGATCCTTCAAGTGTTTCAGGAACTTGTAGCGTATACGCAAATTTAATTCTACTAGGTACTTTAATGCTGCCCAGTGGGAAGAAAATAGCAAAATGTGATAAAAGGAATTCAAGCAATTTCTTTCATTAACTGCTATTTTTCATCAGGTATTTAAGCGAAAATATTTATTTTTTGTAATTATTCTTACATCAGATTCACGTTGTACTACAAGCTAGAGCTTAAGTATAAATGTGTTTAGGAAACTTGAAGTTCTTTCGTATTATCTAGAAATGGAATTGTTCTATCTACATATGTGTAATAAAACATTTTCGTACGATAAACTCTGCGGCCATGAATACCATAGTGATTAAGAGATTAATTCGAATTTTCATACTTAGTCAATATAAGTTCTATTATAAATTACTTATGTTAGTAATACAGTTTAAGGTTTTAGTGAAGCATTCAAGAAGTTTCGAGTTTCATTTAAACTTTCTGAGAATTTTTCCACAGTTCTTAGTAAAATATCTTTGCAAACAGGGTTATATATCCGTATACTAAAAATATATTTTTGTATTAGACATTTTTTCATTCGTAACAATCTTCTACTTGGAGCTGCTGACGAACTACATTAAAAACAGCTTAAGAAAAAGGGGGCTATATGTGGGTATTTCGTCGATATTGTAAAGCTCGATATCAAAAGAACAATTATGCCTATGAGAGTTTTTGCACAAAAACGTTTTTGAAAACATTAAACCCGATGGACAAGGCTTCAAAAATTTCAAAGGAGTTTTACATCACTTGCATTTTCTGAAAGGCCGTACATACAGTAAGAATCCAAACTATGCGGTTGTAGTGAAAGAATTTCATAAAAAATAGCACGATACATTTCTCGACTTTTATATTTTAAAAAATGCGCTGTTGTTTCTTTCCACATTTTGAAACAAAACAAAAATTATACTCGAAGACATGTTCTACGATTTCATAAAACTGGCTTTAACAGTTTTCGCGGAACATCGATTGTTTTCATGGATCTTCTTAATTTTTTATGTTTAGAAAATTAAATACTTGTTAGGTTAGGTAACACATTTTTGATACTGGAATATATCAAAATATAGTTCTTATATGAAAATAATGTTGCGAGGCTTTCCGCGATACGTACCGAAAAAAATATGGGGATATTTATGTTTCAAATGCTATATATTTTTATACTTTCGCAACTTGTTGTACAGAGTATAATAGTTTTGTTCGCCTAACGGTTGTTTGTATCACATAAACCAAATCGAGATAGATATAGGGTTATCTATATTAGATATAAATGATCAGGATGACTGTCTGTCTGTCTATCCGTCTGTTCGTGCAAGCGATAACTTGAGTAAAAATTGAGATATCTCTATGAGACTTGGTACACATGTTTCTTGGTACCGTAAGACGGTTGGTATTGCAGATGGGCGCAATCGGACCACTACCACGCCCACAAAACGCCATTAAGTAGAAACAGATAAATTGCCATAACTAAGCTCCACAATAAGATATAAGACTGTGATTTGGTATACAGGATTACATTAGGGAGGGGCATCTGCAGTGTAAATTTTTTTTAATAGTGGGCGGGGTCCCTCCCCGTAATAGGCTTAATGTGCATATCTCGTAAACCACTAATGCTATAACAACAAAATTCGTTGGGAACAAATGTTTTTAGCATTTCTATCGACGGTGTGAAAATAGGTGAAATCGTGTGATAAACCCGCCCACCCCCATATAACGGTACTGTTAAAAACTACTAAAAGCCCGATAAATCAAACACTAAACACGCCAGAGACATTAAATTTTATCTGTGGGATGGTATAAGATGACTTTATAGGAATCACGTTCACAATTAGTCAGTGGGCGTGGCACCGACCACTTTTAGGGGATCTGCTTAACCGATTTCAACCAAGTTCGCTACATAATATTCTTCTCATATTTCTATGTTAAAGTACGAAAACGGGCGAAATCGAATTACAACCACGCATATTTCCCATATAACACCATTTTAAATTCCATCTGATTTTTCCATTTTCCACTATAAAAATCAAGCAACAATGATTATATCGGCGCAAAACTTTGCCTGAATAATGCGTTTAAAGTATGCCACCTTGTGACCAAAAATCATCTAAATTAAACCAAAACTGTTCAAAATATCGGTCAACATAGAACAAGGTGACAAGATCTACAAAGAAGTCTAAAACGAGTATACTTTTTTACATTTGACTTTGCGAAAGTAGAAAATGTACGGTTACCTTCCTTACTTGTTTAACTTAGATTAATTTACGATATACATTTTTTATATTCCGTGTTAAGAATTTAATTTGTTTGGTTTTCTTTTTAATTGGTTTATTTTTTACACAAATCATTTTATTTTCTAAAAAAAAAAAAAATCGATAAGCAGCACTGCAGGCAATATAACATTGTGGTGCAGATTTTTTAAACGACACGACCGATGAACCAACTACGGTTGAGTAGAGAGTATTCCGGTGTTTACAGGTACTTTAGGTAAAAATTCCATATCTTCAAAACATTACTTCAGGAAATATTTTCTGATTCGCTGTAAAATGATACGTACTATATTTTTCATGTAAACTTATTGTTTGATTATAGTTTAAATTCGAATTTGAGGACAAATACTTAATTATATATTGTTTTATTCAAACAACCGCATGTTGAGCCTATTATATTGTGTTGGATATTCGATTTTTACGTTGACAAAGCAATCCCCCAATTCTAACCCAGTGTAGCTTGTACTAATCATAATCATCTGCGTTTTCTACTTCTTCTTCGCCCGCAATGACCTTGCTCTACTCCAGTTACCAGCACTCGTTACACTCATTACGTTGCTTATTCGCAAGAGTTCACAGCCTTGGCGTCACTAATTGAGCGATTAAAGGCAATTTTAAAGAGCGCTTTGTTGCTTTTTATACATTTATCATATTTGCTTTGTTTGATTTATGGTATTTTTTATTTTTAACTTTTTTCACCAATCTCGATGGTCTGTATGTCTATTTTATCTATTACGTGAATCCCAAAATCTGTTTATATTTGAAATAGCAATAGTTAAGCGCTAAATAAACACTCGTTTATTAAAGAGAAGTGCTAAGAAGCGCTTGTAAACAATAGTGAGTACTTAAAAGAAGTAAGGTATAAGTACATATTTTTTGTTATTTTTTTAAGCTTACCAAGCGTCAGCAGCAGACTTAACCGCAACCAATTGACCGCGTCCATGTTACCTCGTTTTGCTGTGCAGTGATTTTTGCCGCGCAGCTTCGATATTTTAGTTGTTGATTTTTTGTGTTGCTGGTTTAAATTTTTATTAGTAATATTTTTTTTTTTTGCTTTATTGATTTTGTGGTTTCGTAAGATTTACGCTGTGTTTTTGAAGTTAGTCTTTCGTTTTATTTCACTTCGTTACAATTGCGCGGCTCATTACTTTTTCAACGTCATCGGCTCCATTATTTACGCCAAATACGCGCGACAAACCTATTTAGACGAATCGTTGCATTGCGTTACCAGAGTGTTGACGTTTGCTATTTTACGCCAATTATTTTTTGTGTTTGAGAATTTTTTTTGGTGTAATTTTTATTATTTCACAACTTATAATTTTATTAAATTTTTCGCCACTTTAAACTGCAAACAAATTTTTTATAAAATTTATTCGCTTCGCTTCTAACTCTTGATTTTTGTGCTGCTCTCTATTTCGTTTTAAGATTTGTGTTTCTGTAGAAAGTGTGCTTGTATTCAGTGTAGATAAATATTATTTATGGAAAAAAGCAACAAAATCAATAACGTTTGGTTAGTTTTACCACAAAAATTTCGAAAACACACATTCCCCCATTTCCAACCACGCCTAACTCGAAAATTTCATTCTCTGCGTCGCTCTTTCGTCGACTTAATAAATATTTATGAAGTTTACTAATGACTTCTCCACGAATTCTTACAGTTAGTTTTAATATATTTTGTTTTTCTGTTTGGTCGCATTTTTTCACTTCACTTCTTTTATAGTTTTGTTACTCTTATGGTTTTTTATTTTAGTTTTATGTCAGTTTTAACATCATCATTGATATAAAGAGTTGCCGTGAAAGTGAAATTTCTTTTAATGTGTAGTATTGTTGTTGGTAAATGTACATATTTATGTATATATATAAGATTTCAAAAATAGGGAATGGTTAGAATTGTCTGCACGCATTTGCTTAGCTGGACAATTTGAGTATGCAGAAAATATACCATTTAAACCTATACGAAATAGCTGCCAACATACAAACATATATATTATATGTATATACTTGTATATGTTAGTCACGGCTGTGCTCGATACAATTCTTAATTAAATTGTGTGAACAGTAGGATGAAGCGAAAAATAATTTTTTTTTTAACATCTAGAGGCGGCCCCATTTTAACTCTGGGTAACTGAGCCGCATCTAGATGTTATATATAGATATTTTTATAATCTACAGATTTTACCTTAATCAGGCTAATCAAAACAAAAAATGTTTTCGCTCCACCCTAGTGAACAAGTACAAAAGCGGAAATGTTGATTTGTAAAAAAAAAAACTGAAAATAAAAATAACAGAAACCAAGTAAGGAAGGGCTAAGTTCGGATGTAACCGAACATTTTATATTCTCGCAAAGTCAAATGGTATACTCCTTTGAGATTTCTTTGTGGATTGACTGATATTTTCGTTAGAAGGTCAACTATAGGCACTGGGGTCCACATATTTAGTACTTAGGGGCTTAAACAGTTTTGGTTCGATTTTGACAATTTTTGGTCACAAGGTGGCATACTTTAAACGCGTTATTCACGCAAAGTTTTACCCCGATATAATCATTGTTGCTTGATATGCATAGTGGAAAGTGAAAGAATCAGATGGAATTGAAAATGGTGTTATATGGGAAATTGGCGTGGTTGTAATCCGATTTCGCCCATTTTCGCACTATGACATAGAAATATGAAAAAAACGTTATGCACCGAATTTGGTTGAAATCGGTTAAGCAGATCCCAAGATATGGGTTTTCACCTAAAAGTAGGCGGTGCCACACCCACTGTCTAATTTTGAAGGCGGTTCCTATAAGGTCATCTCATACCATCCCAGAGATAAAATTTAATGTCTCCGGCGTGTTTAGTGCTTGATTTATCGCGTTTTTAACAGTACCGTTATATGTGGACCGGGCGAAGTTGTCACCCGATTTCAACTATGTTCACACTGTAGGTAGAGGTTCTAAAAAAATTTGCTTTCAGTGAATTTTGTTATTATAGCATTAGCGGCTTAGGAGATATGCACATTAAACCTATTAGAGGCGGGACCACCGCCACTTTTAAAAAAAAAAATTTTAACTGCAGATGCCCCTCCCTAATGTGATCCTGTGTACCAAATAACAGTCTTGGATCTTATTGCTGAGCTTAGTTATGGCAATTTATTTGTTTTTGATTAATGGCGTTTTGTGGGCGTGGCAGTGGTCCGATTACACCCACTCACGGTACAAAGAAACATGTCTACCAAGTTTCATTAAGATATCTCAATTTTTACTCAAGTTAGAGCTTGCACAGACGGACGGACAGACAGTCACCCGGATTTCAACTCGTCTCTTCGTCCTGATCATTTATATATATATAACCCTATATCTAGCTCGATTAGTTTTAGGTGATGTAAACAATCGTTAGGTGAACAAAACTATTATACTCTGTAGTAACAGGTTGCGAGAATATAAAAAGTGAATAGCGCATTCTTATTCACATAAGAGAAATACAAGGTGCGTTCCAAAGTAAACAGGACTTTAAAAAAAAAGTCAAAACAAATGATTTTATCGGAAAAATCAAGTAATTTTATTCAAATAGTCTACTTCTGCTTTAATACAGCTTTTTGGACGGTCCAAAAGCACGTCGAATGAGTGTTTTAGCTCGTTGCCCGGTATGGTCGCCAGTATGCCGGTGCAAGCCTTTTGAATGGCCTCCACGTCTGCATAATGCTTTTCTTTCATCGACAAATGCATTTTTCCGAAAAGGTAGAAGTCGCACGTGGCCATATCAGGTGAATACGGGGAGTGGTTGATTGTTAAAATGTGATTTTTGGTCAAATAATCGGCCACAAGCGTCGATCGATGAGACGGCGCATTATCGCGCAACAAACGCCAACTTCCATCTTCGCGAGATTCGGGCCGAACACGTCGAATGCGGCGCACCAAACGCTTCACAACTCCAAGGTAGAATACCACATTAACGTTTTGGCCGGGTGGAACAAATTCTTTGTGGACAATACCCTTTGAATCATAAAAATAAATCAGCATTGTTTTCACTTTTGACTTCTCCAGGCGCGATTTTTTGGGTTTCAGCTCGTCCGGCGCCGTCCATTCAGCACTCTGGCGTTTCGTTTCGGGATCATATTGAAAACACCACGTTTCGTCACCAGTCATAATCTTGTAAAGGAAGTTCGGGTCTTTTTTTGCCTCTTTAATGATATCCTTCGAATGTTGAATTCTGAGCAATTTTTGGTCGTTAGTCATTTTGTGCGGAACAAACCGTGCACACACCCAAGCCCAAATGTTCGGTCAAAATGCGATAAATCGATGTTTTGGAGATGTTCAATTCTATTTCCATGAATTTCAATGATGATTTCGGATGATTTTTTATGAATTCCCGGACAGTTTCGATGGAATTTTCGGTGATCACGGATTTTGGTTGCCCCACATGTTCATCGTCATTTATGTCCTCACGACCACTTTGAAAACGTTGAAACCACTCGTGCACTCTGCTACGGGATAGGCAATCATCGCCATAAACTTAATTTATCAATTGAAACGTTTCGGTAAAAGTTTTACCAATTTTAAAACAAAATTTAATCTTGGCTCTTTGTTCGAAGCACATTTTCTCACCGATGACAAAAACATACTGACACTTAAAATCCTAAAACTTCACTTCCAATAGATGAAATGTCATGAATCATGGAAGTCGATAAACGATAGCAGATTCTAACGCACTAGTCGACATATAGATGGCGTCACTAGAGTTTACGTTGTTAATTTTGTCCTGTTTACTTTGGAACGCACCTTGTATATATAGAATATAAATATGCGTATTAAGATCTATAGAATGTATCTACTCACTAAATAATGCGAAATTTTAAGTATATTATTTGTCAATAACCAACATTATAGTCTGATAGCGGTACTTCATGAGCTAAGATAGAAATGGAGGTTGTGTTCATAATTTTTTAGCAGTTAAATTCTGGACCAAAAAAAATGCATTGAAATTTTTTGGAATATGTAGCATGTTGACTTCTTTTTATAATTATCTTCGCCTTCTATTAGTATTTAAAAAAATGCAATCGTGGTACGTTAAGACTAGTATTGCAGTTATTCCCGGAAATATTGATTATTCACTCTCAATGGAGTTTTAAGTCATGGTCCACTACTTGAAACATTGAAATATGTACTATACACAGTTATAACCAATATTTAAGGATATCTAGCAAAGATCTTCAAAACATCCCCGATAAACTATATACCACGTTGACTCTGAATGCATTCTGTTTAGCCTTTAGAATCTGGTTCCTTTTTTTTACCTTTTTACAAGTATTTAAATCTCTAGCATGAAATTTTACGTCAGTTGAACTTGAATACCGTATGACTGAGTTGCACTTGTGTATATTTGAAATTATTAGTAGTTAATAATAGAAAAGAGGAATGTTTTTATTTAAATATATTTTCCATCAATAACTGTATGTTAAGTAGTTATGAGTCACTGTTATTCATGTACAATACAATTATGATTTATTAAATCCTCAGTCTGTCCTATTAAAATGATAACGGATGAAATTCCTGAAATTTCTTGCTTCTATTTAGAATTAACCGTGTTTCAAAGTTACTTATCTGACCACTATTCCTTGCGGGAGAATTAACTGAGAACACAAAAATGTTTGAGTTTGTTAAAACCCTCCATAAGTCTATTAAAACTCAAACACTGTCGTAGTTTTACTTTAGAATTTGTAATCTATATCTAGCGATATTGCATTCGGTGCACAGTCAGTAATGCCCACATCTATAATTTTTTATATACGAAAATGCTCCAATGTATACAGAGTTCAAGATTTCATTTAAATATATTTCACTCTAAACGATATAAATTTGCCATTTTTGCAAATTTTCTCGTATTTATTTTCTTGGTTAGTTTTCATGTACATTTGTAATAACAGAAATACTTTTTAGATATTATCTCAGATTAGCACTTATTTTAAGCAGTGTCGAAAAGCTTGCTTCTTTTCGGTTAAAAGTAACTTTTAAAAATCACCTTTACAGCTTATACATGCAGCAAAACTTTCAAATTAAACATCAGCTATGGCAATTCAAAACAATATGTTACCGTTATAACAACTCGAACGAAAGAGTAACCGTGCTTGCGTTTTGAGTTTTCAACACGCGCTTTCCAACTGTTTACAAGCAGCGCACAACAGACGGCTTGAACCGAACAAACTGCATAGACTGAATTGAAAGCGAGTTTTAAGGCATGAGCTCCAAAATTAACGCAGAAGTTGAGATTAATAAACTTGAAATCATTACCGCCGCTCAGAGACAAGTGATGTTGAGCGCGAAATCTCCCGCTCCTAACTGATTTTTGAGAGCTTAGACACGTCTTCGCAGGCAAACTGCGTTGTCGACTCTTACAGCACATGTTTAAGCCCGGCTTTTTTGAACCAAGCCAATATTCGATTTAAAAATTTAAAAATACAGCACATGCTAAATAGAGATGACTATTAAACAAAAGCCAATTATGTCTCTCAAATTATGTGTGAAGGTAGAGAGCTTCTGTGGCATTGACGTATGTTGTCTGTCTGCCGGTCGGCGTTGATTTGTCAGGTTATCGTTATCTCATTGAAAAAGCTGTAAATAAGCATGCCTTCGGACACTCCACCGCGTCAACATTTTTACACTTTACTTAATGAAGACATTAACGACTCGGCGCAGTACATCCCTGTAGCAAGAGAGACGGCAGTAAGTAGCTGAAAACTGCCTGCACACTTCACGATACTCAGGGGGTATTCATATAAAGGTACATGCAACGCATTGTGGTTAATGGAGCGCTCCTCATGGCTTTCGTTGCATTTGATTTTTATGTTTGTTGATTTTTTTTTATCAACTTTTTTAACAAAGTACGACATTACAATATTTTCTTTTAATAAATATTAAACGATGTTAATTTTTAAATGTCCAAAAACAGCTGTTTTAAATATCTACAACTGTCCTCACTAGTCTACATTAGTGAATAGATTAAATATTATAACATTGTGAAGGTATATGTAGAATGCCATGCAATTCTTGCTTGCATTTTAAATAAACATCCCTAAAGCGTTTATATCCACTTGTAAGTCAATTTTGAAGCGGCATTTTATTTAATAAAAATTATTTCTTTTTAATGTGCATTCACAGATTTAGTGTACTTTAATAGTCGATGTTTACTTCTAAAAAATTTTGGTTTCTCTTGAACCAATAGTCGATCTCGACTAGGATCCAGCGGTCAAGAATATATTTCTGCTTAAAATTATCTCAAATCCAAGAACCAAAACAAAAAAATATTATTGAAATCGAAAGATTAGTAAACATTTTTGAAAAACTTTCGGCTTTCCAAAAAACATTATTTTTATGAAAAAATATACACTTCAGAGTACAGAGTGCTTAAAACATCGAAATTATTATCAAAAATCGTATTCCTTCGATATCCAAATATATCTAACAAGGTCCAAGTGGATCGGTCAAGCCGGTTCGGAGAAGATTTCCGCGTTTAAAGTTTTGGGTACCGATTACACTAAGTTAAAAGTTAAGTTTTTTACAAATACGTTCATATTTCGGAAACTATTTTCGGATGATATTTTCAAATATATGTAGATCAGACATCAGCGCAATTTCTTCAAAAAAAAAAATAAAATAAAAACTCTATCTTAAATAATCAAATGTTGCGTCACTTAAAATTTCGGCAACTATGAAATTTATGCACATTTCTTTTGAAAGTTAGGTTGAACCACAAAACATGGTTTGTATATGCATGAGCTCCAAAAAGTGATGTTTAAGGCGTTTTAAAATATTTAATATTTCAATCGGTTTATAATAAAATCTCAATTTCTACTGTCTATTTCACATGTACATTCATTGTTTCGGGGCCGTCGATTCAATTTCTCTAAACTCATTTGTTGAGAATATGTACTATCTAGCATTTTCACAAAATTACATTATTTGTTATTATTTCCTACTAACTCTAAATTATTTTCTGATGTCAAAAGAATTTCTTTTTTTGTTCTTACAAGACGAAAGCGAATATTAAAAGAAACAAAAGTAAAACATTTTTCTTTCGGTCTTATTCACTTTGAAAAGGACCGCAGTGAAAATTGTGAATGCTTTCTAAATGAAAATGAAATAATGTCATTCCGCATTCAAGTGGCTCACAGTCGTTAATAAAAACTCAACAATAACTATCCCAATAAGAAAAATTTAGAAAATTTTCATATCAGAGTGCCTTTAATACTTCTAAAGTCACAAGCCATACCAGCCAACGTAGATTTTAGGTTAGACTGACTTTGGTTATTTTGGATTTACTAAGTCATCCAAGAAAGAACTGAAAGAACATCCAAGAAGAAAGATTAACATGTAATACGATATAAAACACAGACCAAAGTTTCTGGTACCATTACAATAGCGTCAAAACTAAAAATTAAATATCTGCTAGGTGCCGTCTTAAGCCTTAAACCCGATTTTTCGTAGAAACTCCATGCGAAAGTGCATCGAAAAGTTGGAATGTTCTTACTGGTGTTAAACTATTAAATACCTGCCTCTAAACTAAATATTAGCAAGCACCAACCAACGAACTCCAGAAAACTCCTGTTGCAGAAAATCGTCGCAAATCACAAACAGCGAATGCCTGACGCACGAGTAGAGAAGAAGGAGGCTTTACAAAATCGCTGTTTATGTCACCACTGCATCTTTCAATTAGTTTTGTATGATTGCATGGCATTTCCGATTTATTACTATTTCGATAGTGGGTATGAGAAGTTTTGCGCAAATTGCAAATTTTTGTTGCACAGAGTATAATAGTTTTGTTCGCCTAACGGTGTTTGTATCACCAAAAACTAATCGAGATAGATATGGAGTTATGTACATATATGTATATAAATGATCATTGTGATGAAACGAATTGAAATCCGAGTGACTATCTATCCCATCCGTCTGTCTGTTCGTGCAAGATGTGGGGATACCAACCCATTTCTATCATACACTGTGCCATCTTTCTCATATAACAAACTTTTAAATTCTGGTGGACACCAGAGCGTAGGGCTGACTTTTTGCTGAAAATATCGGTAAACCTTTGAGATCTAAATTTAAATTCAAGGAAAATGTTTTTTGATAATAATACTTGTATGTATACCCTTGTGCCAAAAATGGGTTAAATCGGGTTCATACTTCGCTTAGCCCAAATACCTAATTAAAATATTTTCGAACTTCCGGTTGACTTTATTCTGCATCTATCGGTCAATATGTTAGAAATCTTAATGAAATTCCGAAAGAATTTTTTTCTAATAAGTGTGCATCTTCTTGCCTGTGTTTGTAAATAATGCATGCAATACTTCCTACTTTTAATTAAAATACCATTTATATAGTAAACATTCATTACTTGTTTCGTTATAGGTTTCATTGTTTTGTTGGAAGAACGATACAAAATTTCCGTGTAAATAATATATACGATAATTTAATTGTTATGCGTAATAAAGTATTGTATAAAATAAATATTGAAAATCTAAGGTCAATACGATCGAGTTTGTACCGGAAAAAAGAATTATCCTAAATGGCAATTATTCTGCATTTAATACATCAAATATTGCCCCTTAGAAAATATTTAATCCAAATGTATCATATCAGAACATAAACACCAAGCACTATTCAAGCAATACTTCTACCGGTATTCTGCTGGTAAAACACAAAGCATAAAATTCCGCTTTTTAGTTTTTTTGCGATGTTATTTATTCATATTTGTGTCGGTCACCTATTTCCGCTTTTGCAAAAAATAGGAGTGTGAGCTACCGAGTGGTATAAAAAATTTATTATCAAACATATTCTGTAAAAAATTGAAAATTAAGAATAGGAAATTAAAAACGATGGGATTTTGTAAAATTTAAGTCAGTTTTTTTATACAGTGGGTAGAAGAAAACACTGCAGCAATGAAAAGCGTGAATCCATTCAAAATCTTCGAAAAAACAATAAAACTTATAAAGAATTTAAAAAAGTACTCGGGTGCTCTGATCAAATGATGGCAAATGCCGTGTTCTACAAAAACTAATCTGAGACAAGTGGACGAAAATGCAAAACCACTAAAAAAATCGATCGATGCATACTTTAGTGGTCTAAAAACGATCCTAAAGCGTCATCTAATGAAACAAAGAAGCGTATAGTATTTATTGCTAGAGGCGTAACAGTTCGTAGACGTTTACTAAAAAACAAGTTATTTGCGCAGATTCCTCGAAAAATTCCATTAGATTGAAGATTCATTGCCCCGCATATGTGCTGCAGTAATAAAAAATCTCGGTTACTCAACTAAATATTAGAGAAACTAACTTGTATACTAATAATAATTTGCTATTTTTTTTTTTATTTATTATTAGATTTATTGAGTTTTGTGTTACATTCCTATTATTTTGAACACCGAATTATTGAGGTTTATATTGAAATAATTCTATTTTCTTGTTTCACTTAGTATTAATAAAAATTTTAAAATGCATAAAGAGATTGCATAAAATGAACAATGCTTTATATATTATGTTGAGGCTACCCCAATTATTTTGAATATTACAACTGTATATTATATTATTATCTTAATTGTCCAACTAGGAGTCTTTTTGGGCATGATATTAGACTCGATATTAAAATATCCAGCACCTGATTAAAATGGTAGTTTATGATTCTTTAACTTTTAAGCTATGGTATCTATGTTTTAGAAAAAATATCGATATGGTTAATTCAGTTAAAGTTTTGTAATTGCACTAAAGACTAATTTTTCATGTTCTATTTTCAACGGCTAACTTCGTTTTTTTTTGTTGTCTATTATACCTGTCATCTTTGATGGCAGCTTGCAACTAAATTTTCTACATATTTCAGAGGAAGCGAGTAGCCGAATGAAATCTTTGATTGACGTGAAATTTTTCTTGATATTTTGGCTTTTATTAAAGTCCAAACATTCTTGATAGCTAAAGTAAATATACGGGTTTCTTGTTTCCATTGAGTACGGAGTGTGCTCCTATTTTTCGGATCATTGTCTTCTTGCAGTGTCCAAACACAATTATTTTTGCCATAAACTATTTCAGCTGACTTCAGTAAACCCTTTTTATACAATGTAATCATTTAAACCGCGTTCAGGTTTTTTGTGAAGCACCTCAAGACGACACATCCATGACCTGAGAAGCATCCATAAACATGCACTTTTTGGAGGTGCTCAACACTTCTTTAAATAAATGTTTGTCCTTATCTTAGCCAAACACATCTGAAGGGGTTGAACAATACAAAAGTTGACTCATGAACAATAACT